ACAGTAAGTGGGTTCCTACTGTTTCTGTGCACTAGTTTTGAAATGGAAAAGCTAGGGACTAGTATGGCATGTAGTACAGTAAGATAACGCAACCCTGTCGGTATTCAAAGCTACTCGTAAAGAGCAGGTTATAATTAATCTTTTCTTAAGTGGCTGATGAGGCCCTGGCACAGGCTGTCCAGTGAAGTTGTGTCTGCCCCATCCCTGCAGTGTTCAAGGCCAGCTTGGACAGGGCTTTGAACAACCTGGTCTAGTGGAAGGTGTCCCTGCCCATGCCAGGGGGTTAGAACTGAATGAGCTTCAAGGCCCCTTCTAACCCAGACCATTCTGTGATTCAGTCATGGCTTTGTGGTTCACAGTTAATTAACTTTATGGAAAACCAGGGTCAGTTTGTCAGAAATATGATTAGGGAATGATAGAATAGGGTTAAAAATTATGACAGTGTGTTGCAGAGACTGCAACTTACTGTAACAAAGCTGTTCCTAGAATTTAAAGTGAGACATGAGGTGCGCATGCAGCCTGGTCAGTGCCAGCAGGTAGGATATTCCCTTAGACTTTCTGCCTTTGTGTATTTAGACCTGGGAGTGATTATTTTGAGAGAGTGAATGTGTTTATTTTTTCTTGATGAGTCCAGTTAAGCATTTAAAAACATAATTTATTGCTAGGCTTTGTAAGAAATCTGTGCCTCACAGTTTAGCACAGTCACCTAAAAACAAGCCAAAACCTGTTGAGATCCCTGGATCCCCAGCTTTCCCATGCCAGAGGTTTTGTTTGCGCCTTTCCTGCAAACAGAAGTTGGTCACCAGGGTTTAGGGTTTCCTGCCCTGTTTGCTCCGTTAGGACCAAGCTCACCAGCAGCCAGATGCTGAGGTCAGTGCTGCCCAGCTGCTGCGAGCGTGTGTCTCCCTGCAGCAGTGGAGCAGCCCAGGGCAGTCGTACGTGGCCTGAAGCCGCTCTGCTCACCTGCCCTTGCAGATGTGCTCCTGAGCAAGAGCTGCTGTTGATCAGGGTACTTCAGGCTGCTCTAAAATGGGAGAATCCTGGTTCTTTGCCATGTACTGGCTGAGGTCACAGTGGCAGAGAATCAGGCAGGGGGTTGGGGTGTTCCCCTCTTGGGTGTATGTCTGGGCTCTTCCAGGTGTTTATTGCTGTGCTGTAATTAATGCAGTTTGCTGGGCAGCAAAAGGAATCCCCTTGCCTATGGATATGGGGCTTCTGATTCCTAAATGTAAATGGAAAGCTGCGCTACCAAAGTGGTGGCAGTAAAATGTTGTAAGTTGTCAAAATCCTGGAAAAATTTAAAACCAAGGAAACAGTGCAGTTGTTTCACAAGCGCTTGAACGAGAGCCCTGCCTTGTACTGCAGGGAATCATCCCTGCTGCTTCAGCCACACTTCATTTCAAACTTTCCCTGCCTATTTTCACATGAGCTCATATGAATTCACAGTGGGGACTCTCTGACCGGCTCCGGTTATGCTCTTTGCTGCTGTTTCAGGGTTTCTATGGTGCAGTGAAATGCCAGTTTACAAAATCAGAAGTGCTTTGTAGTTCATACTACTGGATTTAAAGTCAGTTCCAGATCTAACATGGTGCTTGTTGGCAGTAGAGGGAGAAGTTGCCCCAGGGAGCTCTAGCTCTTGCCTTGTGTCACCTTGCCTGGGAGGGTCTTACCCACTGGTGGTTCTTATTGTCCTGGGGTTCAGATCCAGCCCATGTGAACATGGGTCCCTGTTGCCCCTTCCCAGGGTGCTGCCAGGAGTGCAGGGGCATGCACACAACTGCCTACAAGGCATTGGGATGGTGAACAGACCTCGGGCATGGTCCCCTGCTGTGAAGGCAGCTTGGTGGCAGAAGAGGAGCAGGACTGCAGCCAGGCTGACCTTTCCTCTCCTGGGAGCATACAGGGATGTCCCAGGTGATGCAAGACACTGCTTAAAACAGCCCCAAATTCACCATCAGTAATAAAGCTTGTTTTACCAAGGACCATTCTGGTGTGGGGTCTACCTTTAAGTAGCTTCTCTGCCATGCTCAGTGACTTTGAAATTTGCTTATTCTGTAATTAAAGGTATCTTTGCTGGGGAGGCCTGAGCTCCCATCTGCTGGTTCAGCTTCTCCCTGCCTGAGGCAGGGCTGATCAGTAATTTTTACAGCTGCTGTGGCAGCAGCTACTTGCAGAAAGGACAAAGGGAAGGAGGGAAGCAGGAGCGTTCAGATATCAGACTGACTTAGCTGGAGGAGGGCCAGTGTTGGGATTTGTCTCCGTGGCTAATGTTGGCTGCAGCAGTTTTGCCTGCAGCTGGCACAGCCGTATACTGTCTCGCACAAAGAGCATCACTGCTGCTGCTGGGGCTGGTCTTCCGAAGCAGAACCAGGATGGCTGTGAAAGGCACTGCCTCTTCCACCTGGAAGTAAGAGTTAAAATAGTGGCTCCTGATGCCACTGTACTGGGGCAGAGGGTGAGGGGGAGTTTTGTACCTGCTGGTATCTAATGCTGCACTGTGCCAGCTGAGGCAGCATTCTCCCACTGTTACCTTGCAGCTGGAAAGTTGTGGGTGAGGGCAAGGAGAGAGGTGATCCCCACAGCAGAGAGCAGCAGCACTAACTCATGCAGCAGCATTTGGGGCAGTTGGTGGAGCTGCTTTAGTGGCATTTGGACAGGGTGTAAAGCCCTGGGTACAAAGGGTGGGGATAACAAGCACTGTGTTGGCAGTGGGGCTTGTGCCGGGGGTGTGTTTGTGCCCAGAGGTGCTGTAAAATGAGGGTGCGAGGCAGCAGTATCTGTGGTACACTTTTTATTTTTCTTGTGGCGCTTGGCTGGTAAATGGGACTGAATTAAAGCAATGCTCATGAAAAATAAAACCCAACCATGACTCAGAAGTGCAAAACTGCCCTCCGTGTGTGCAGAGGCAATGAGGTTCTGGTTTGCCAGAGACAGCACAGGGTTTGGTGTCTGTACCAGCAGGGCAAAGGCTTCAGCTTGTTGATATCCTAACTGCGATCAGGCGCCTGGTACAGCGTATGGCTTTGTTGCTGGGTGGAACCTGTGACTCTGAGAAACAGTTTCTGTTTGGCAGAAGCCACTGGTGAGGTTTTGTTTTGTCCCTATTTACAAGTCATGGTGCTGTCTTCCACTCAAACCACTGAACAGAGGCTGCTGAACAGTAAGCTTATGAAATCAGTAAGTTATGAAACTAAAACAAAACAAAAATGGTAAAAGCCAAGAACAACAAAAACCTGCCGACCTCCATTGCGTTTGGCCATCGCTCATCATATAAACAGCACCAGCACAGAGCAGACAGTTCCCGTGGTGGAGGAGTGGTTTGTGATGGGAAGACTTAGGACTTGCAAAGGATCAGAAAAACTAACAAGTGCATCCCAGGTATGAAATTACAGTAACGTGTTGCCTAAGGCTGAGAAAGGTCTTAATTGCATCATCCCATCGGGCACATAGCTGGCAGCAGCTGAACTACCCCTGGCACTCCCTTTGCACTTCCCACCCTATTCCCTGCTCCTCTCTTTTTGCAGCTCTGTGAAGAAGGACCTGACTGCCTCCAGAGGACAAAGCACACCATGAGATGGAACATCCTCGGTGCTACAGCAGTTCAAGAAGTGTCTGGCAAAAAGTTCCCAAAGAAAAATTGGTTACCCTGTAGCGAGGGAGGGATGAAAGCTGTAGGAATGAACAGAACACGGGGATAATTTGGCGCCTGGTACCAGGATCTGTAATTTACCTGCCTGGAAAAAGCATCTGAAAGGGAAGGAGTGAAAGGAGTTTACCTACTGGGTCACTCGAGTGAGGATTTTGGCTGCAGGGGGCGGACGACTGCTGCCAGCAGGTACTACCACCCCCTGTGCTCCGGCATCTTGTTCCTTCAGCTCCTCCCTCTCCCAGTGTTCCCTGTGCTGCCTTTGCTGGGGACCAGTGAAGTGCTGCCCACGGCAGTCTGTGCCCTGATGAGTTTGCAGTTGCAGACAGCTCTGGTGCACCCCCCTGCCTGAGGTGGGACAGGCAGGCAGTGGCAGCCTTTACCTGGCCTGGCACGGGGCTGGAGAGCCTCTAGTGTTCCCATGCACTGAGGCAGGCTTCGCCAGGCAATCCAGGAGCAAACCGGCACTGATACTTTGCAGTCTTACCGCAGCGATGTCTTCTGTGGCGCTCTGAGCTGCGGGGCAGAGCAGCCTCTGGGCCCGGGTGTCCCTGTGCTCAGAAGTCCTGCAAGCCCCTTCACCAGGCGCCAGCTGAGGGGCTGCGTGGTGCAGCCGGGCATCAGGCAGGTCTGTCTCTGCACAGCTGAAGAGATGAGCTGGTGCATTGAGGGGAGGGCAAAGCTTCACTCATGCTGCTCATGCTGTGGTTCTGCTGGGGGCTGTGGGGGTGTTGTGGACAGAGACCCCCATGCCTAACCTGTTTAAAACCTTTTCCCCAGCTCTTCTCCGCATGAAGGTAGAGAGGAATGGCCTTGGGACCCTCTCCATGAACATGGTGTCTGGGCACGTATCTTGGCTAGAGTTTGATGTGAAATTTATTTAGCCATCTGCATAGCATGTGGTGATAGCAGCACTGTTGTGCTCGTCATTTGGTGACACGTAGCTGGGAGCAGCAGGGTTTCTGAGGAGGCTATGTCCTGAGGCCTTGGGATCCCATGTGTTTTTCAGAATTCACCAGTAAAGATTGCCAACATCCTCAAACTGGGATGCCAGGGAGCAAACCAGCAGTTATTAGGTGGCTGTTCAGGCACTGGGAACATGGAGAGCGATTTGGTAAAGTAAATACAGCCCAACTCTAAATCCACCCTAGACAGAGGCTTGGTCAACAAGCAGCATTCAGTAGCTTCAATGTATTAAACTGACTCCCACCAACTCAGCTAGAGGGCTCTCCATTTCACTGGTGTGGTTTGAGGTCTGGGGCAGATCCCATTGAGAAAAGAAGTAAAGTTTCATCCCGTTTCTCAATGAACTTGCTGCAGCAGTGCCATTCCTTCACGTGCCAGAAAAGCTCCTCCATCCACACGCTTCAGCCATTGCTTGCCTGTGCACTGGGTCCAGCAGGGCTCCCCTGCCAGTCCTGCTCAGTGCAGAGCTCACTGGCCCAGCTGCAGCAGCTGTAAGCAGTGAGACACGGACAGGAGCCTGCACAAAGGTGTCTGTTTTCTGTCAGACCCTGGTTCCGTGTCTGGCAAGCACTGCTGGCCGGGCCACCGGGCACCGCGGGGAGTGGGGATGGGATAAGCTCTTCCTGAGATCTCCCTTGCTGTGCTCTGATCTGCTTACGGCATCTTCCAGAGCACATTTCCTGCTGTCAGAGATACCCCTGATGTTCCTCGCGCTTCTCCCCATCCAGTAGTTGAGTTTGTGGCTTGTTCTTCTGTCTCATGGTTAAAAAAATAAATCTTTGTTTTACTTTTCATCCTCATCTCCCTCGCTCATGCTGCTGAGGGAGGCAGAGGCAGCTTTTGGAGAAGACGGAGGAGAGGCTTTATTGAAGACCCAGGGTGGAGATGGAGAACGGGATGGAGAGCGGCCTCGTGTAGGACTGCTGTTGGGGCTCTGCCGGGGAGAAAAAGCCTGGAGCATTCGGCCGCTTCGTTCCTGGAACATCTGCTTCTGCAAAAGCAAAGTGAGAAGATGTTCTCTGAGTAGTGCACAGAGAAGGTATCTACACCTGTGGGCAGGCAGGTGCTGCGCTGTACTCTGCCTGTCACCGGGGGAGAGCAGGGAGACAGAGGATAGCCTTCTGCTCTGAAACATGGCCAGTCCAGCCCACACTTAGCCTTTGCCTCTTTTACTGTGCTCGTGATAACCCAGTTTTTACATGACAAGTGTTTTTAGATTGGACACCCCTAGTGTGAGAATACTGTGTGTATTGTCCTAAGCCAGCTAGGGAAAACTCCACTTGGATTTCTTTGTACATGTTGGTCAGTCTTCTGCCTGAGCTTTCAACACTCCTTGTTCCCAGGACCTCTTCCTTTCAGTGTGCTGGGGCATACCACCCATCTCCCGCTGAGCTTTACTGGCTGGCCCAGCCTTTTTTCTTCTTTCCCTTCCCAAGGGAGTCAGCTACATCCTCGGCTACTTGGAGCTGGTGCTACCCAGACCCTGAATTGGGGGTGGGAATGTCAGAATTCAGGTGTCTGTTGAAAAGAGAAACATGTGCAGGCACTGTTCTGCTTTGGGCTCTTTATTGTCAGTTTTGCTTTGTGGAGCTGCGTGAAGGTCTGCCAGTGCTGGTGGGGTGGAGGAGACCACCTTGCCAGTCAAGCAGTCTGCCACGCTAAGGCAAAGGCTGCTGCTTGGTAGCACCTACATGGCCTTGCCAGGCTGGGTTACAGGAGGTCTGGCCTGGCCTGTGCTGTGCTGCTGCTGCAGGCTTCATGTGCAAAGTGTAACTGCTTCTTCTGGGGGTTGGAACAAAAAGCCTCAGCATTGGCTGGAGTACTGGAGGTCGGCTCATAGGCAATGCTCACCTGGAATGGAAGAGCCAGCCCAGACAAAGTTAAACTGATGCTTTGAGAGCAAAATAAGTTGAGGTCTGAGAACAAAGAACTTGTGCAGGATGTACTCTGGTTTTGCCTGCTTGGGCTGCTGCAGCCCACAGGCTTGCTGAGCTTGAGTTCTCATTTTGTTCCTCCTCCCTTTCCCCTGCAGCAACCCTGCTCTGTGATGACCTTCCTCCTAGCCAAGGAGCATCTGGCTGTTCATCTTGCTCTTCCTCTCACTCTTTGAAATGCACTATTCCCTGCCAGCAGAGGGGCGGATGCAAGGTTTTCCCATCCAGTGTTTGCTACTCCTGGGGGCTAATGACTGAGCACAGGTACAAAACTTAACTGTTCCCCTGTGAGCTCCCTCACACTGTTTTTACCTTTATCACATTGGCTTTTATTAACTTAAGTTTTAGAGCCTGGATGTCACTGCAGTGCAGAATGATAGGGCAGTTGCTGCCTGGAGTCACACTTAATAGCATTCTCCCACATAGACCTATGGCATGTAACCTACCCCTGCACTCCTGCTGGGTCCAGAATAGTCAAGGATTCCTACAATCTCAGTAGTTAGCAGATGGTGGTTGCTCCTGATAAATGGTGCCAGGAAGCATTTGGATGCTGAGAGTTGTGAGGAAGTCACCAGGGCTGGCAAAGCCCCAGAGCCTATTTGAAATTCAGTGGTAGGACTGCAAAGTTGCTCTCTAGATCAGAGAAGCTGAGGTTTTGTTGCTTCATTTGGTCTGTGTCAGGTCACACTGAAGGTAACCCCCAACAAAAAATATGATGTTTGATATGAAACATCCCCTTCCTGAACAAGCAAACCACTGCACTGGCACCTCATCAGTCAGCCACTTCAGGAAGTTTGGTGACATTGGGATGCTTCACGGTGTTGTGGTACCGGTGCTGGAGGAGATTGAGGTGTCCCAGCTTGGCTGGTATGCCGTGTGGCAGAGGGAGCTTCACTGTACCGCAGGTTTACATGGTCAAGGGATGGAAAGGAGAATCTCCCCTTCCTGCTGAGGCCCTCAGCCAGGCTGTAGGACACCTGCTTTCCAGTCCCTGCTTCAGCAAAGAGCTTGTTTCTTGAGCAAGCCGGAGCACTCACACCTTCAGCAGGGTAAGTGCCTGCTCAGTCCTGAGATAATGCTTTGCTTTTGTCAAACTTGCTACTGGGCAGAAGTATTTTGGTTATTTCTGAATTTTATTGCCTGCATGTTGACATTCTTTCAGTTTATGGAACAAGTGCAGGTTGGGCATTGCAGAGAAGCTCTGCACTAAGAGGGTGCTGAGGCACTGGCACAGGTTGCCCAGAGGAGCTGTGTCTGCCCCATGCCTGGCAGCGTTCAAGGCCAGGTTGGACGGGGCTTGGAGCAATCTGGTCTGGTGGAAGGTGCCCTTGCCCGTGGCAGAGGGGTTGGAACTAGATGATCTTAAGGTCCCTTCCAACACACACCCTTCTATGATTCCATGACTGCTGCTTTTGAGCTGCTGATTCTTTCAAGGCCATGCTCAAGTCCAGGCTGTGGACGCATGGTGAGGCCTAAACGCTGTCCCTGGGTTCTAGTTGCAACCTGCAGGATTTATCTTGAGCCCTTGCTGATGTCTGAGGTGATGCAGCCATTTGCAACCATCCCCAACTCCCTCTGTGCACTGCATAGAGTGAAGCTGGCCCTTTGAAAGTACACTCCTGAGGGAGACTAGCACAGAAACCCTGCCCTGTGAGCTTGTTTTCTCTCTGCTGACCTATGTGCAGCTGCCTGCTCCTATGTGTCTGAGGGGGGGTGGAATGAACCCTACTGCTTTCCCCTTCCCCGGGGCCATGTCTCTGCCATTAGGGTCCCCTAGTGTGTGGTCGTCCTCTCACATGCCAGAACATGTGACTCTCTTGCAGAAAAACTACACGCAGGTGGGCAGAATTGCCAATGAATTATAGACGTCTTGACATTTGAAAACTGACATTTTGACCTTTTTCACAAATGGGCATTTTTCTGTGGGCTACGTGGCCCTTTCAGAAAACTGATGCTAGCATAAAGCGTATTATAATAATTATTTGTGAAATAATAATAGCATATTAATGGCATGCAAATTACCGATCTAGGAATCCACCATGCCCATAACGATTCCTGTACTTTTAATGTCAACATTAAAAGCAACATCTAACTAACAGTGATAAGGCAAATTAATGTTAATAACAGTTTTGACACTAATAGCAAGTTATCGTTATTTTAAAAGTCTTTCCTGTTGCCAAGGCTGAAAGCGTATTTAAAAAAGCTGCACCACCTCTCGGCTCGCTGCCACTGACGCTTTTCCTACAACACTGTCAGGAGGTTTCAATCCTCTTGTTCTTAGCAAAGGTCTCTGTGACTTCACCAGATTCCCTGCCCCATGGTCAAACACTAACTTGTGAAACAGGAGGCCACCCCCAGCTCTTAAGAGACCATTGCAGAGCAGCTTTTCTCTAATCAGATTTGGTAAAATGTTCATCAGCAAAGGGCTTCTAAAAATGCCACCAGTGTGCAGTTGAGTGGGTAGAGCCAGGGGATGGGATCAAGGCTTTCAAATTCTTTTCCTCTCTGCACAGGCAAACTCATCTCACCTCCTCTGAGTTTCATGTGCTCTGTTAGCATTATTTTATTTATTCAGCACCTACAGCCACAGGACCATCCCACATGAGGAACAGTTGCCAAGCTCTATGGAGAATAACTTAAGAGAAGAAGCTTCATGTGGATGTGGTCAGTGCAGGTAAACCTGGGTTCTTCATCAGAAGAGTTGCTCTCTTCCCCTCCCCAGGGAATATAAGCTATTTGATTATATGGCTGGGACTTACATTATTCAGAGAGCACCCGCCTTTGCATGGCAGATGTTGTAAAGAGATTATAAAGATGCAGTTTCTGTTCTGAAGCCTTCACAGCTTAATTCGAGGGTTTTCTCAACTGAATGGTAATCAATATGGCATGTCATAGCTGAGAAGAGATGAGAACTCCAGTAAGAGGCAGGTACTATGTTATGTGCTTTAGCGGCACTGAGTTGTGACACACCTGTGATGTGGGCTACTTAATTCACCACAGGTCTGTGACTCTTCCTGAGTGTTTGTTTATAAACAAAACCTCTGCTATGATCCTTTTAACACAAGGTACCTTTTGTGATGGGAAGTTCAGATATTAACTGATAAAGAGGGACCTAAGAGAACATTATGCGTGTGTTGACTCTTTATTCCAATAGTATCTGCTTCATGTTAGTCCTAAACTGTTTCTTCTGGCTTGCTGCCTCTGTTGACACTTTGCCTCAAACTGTAATCCATGAGCAGTGAAAGCTTTGCACAACCCTCCTGCACAGAGTTTACTTTCAAGTGAGGAGGCAGATGCCTGTCTGCACGCCACGGTCTGAAAACGCACCTCTGAAGCATCCTGCTGTTCTGCAGATCATTTGTCTAGCTCTTACTCTGCTCCCCTCAGTTCACCCTGCAGTGCTTGCTGCTCTCCTCCATGCTCGCTCACATTTCCTTGAACAGAGCAACAACTTCACTTAGAGCTTGCAATTAGAGCATTGAAATGATGCCTGCACTGGAGGGTCTGGCTGGGGCTTGGGCTTTCACCAGAACACAGATGCACAGAGAGAGCTTGTTGGAAAAGGACTGACTCCCAACAGGTAGGCCTGGGAAGGCCCAAGAACAAATAAATTCTACATATAAATTAAGCTTTGCTACTGGTTTCAATGTAGCAAGGGGAAGTAGTACAAAAAGATGAAGCTTCTCAAGGCTTTGGCAAGCTATCAGAACTGAAAGATGGGGTCCAGGACTCTTTTGGGGCTCCGAAGTGTCACCAACTCGCCACTCACTCAGTGCATGACTTTGGTTTGAGCAGGTGAGGCCCCAGGGTTTCCCCCCAGAAGGATGCTCTTGCAGACCCTCCACTGCCTTTCCAAGTCACCTGGGGGCCTTTGATAAATAGGCTCTGTGGAGCCAGCACGTACCAAGCAGAGCTTTCGAAGTGCTTCAGTTCCTAAGCCTTCCCTGCAGTCAGTCAGGCCACTTGATGTATAAAATCACTTCTTGGAACTTCAAATTAGTAGTTTTTCAAGTTAGAAAATTGTCATCTTCTACTATTGAGTATAGAGCATGAAAATAACTTCTGAAAAACTTTTCTATGGTCTTCTTTCCCTCACCACTTCCAGTGTGTAATCCCTCTCTAATGTCTGTGTGGTCCCATTTAGTGCTAATGGGGACAACGGACTGTATTAGCCTGTTTACTTGTGTATTGATGTTACATGGCTCTACTGAATGCAGCATCGCATTCGGCACCACACCTTGACAAAAGATAGAAATTATCCACAAAGAAGCAGCAGTCAGAAGTACAAATCCTCCCACTGCAGTATTGGCATGAGGTACTGGACTCAGCAAGCAGGTCTGACATCCTACTGTGCTGGTTTTCAAAACAAAGACTGCAGCAAAAGAATCTGCTCTTGACCTGTGTCACGGAGGAGAAATAAAAGCCATCCAGACTTCCTAGAATGGCAGAATACCTACCAAGGCTCCATCGGGTCCAAACAGCTCTAAGAAGTTGCCAATAAACTCCCTGGACTTTTCTTCCCATTTCTGAATGAGGTCATGGCTCTTCTCCTCCACCTTGTAAACAAATTCTTTTGATTTTTCCTCCACATTCTTGACTTTTTCTTTCATTTTGTCCACTTGGTTTTGAAAGCGGTATTTCTTCTCCTGTTTCAAAAGTGCAGACAGAGTTTAACACACAGGGACTTGGAAATTAATTAGCCACTGCCAGCTGAGAAGAAGAGACAAATTGCATTAATGTATCCTAATACATATGGCCTTGGTTAACTATTCCCATGTTATTTTTATAAATGCAAATGTAACATTTGTGGAACGAAGTACAGAAGGTACATATTGAAAAGACAGTGCTGGGTGATTACTGTGTTTAACCCACTGCATGACTCTTTCCATATTTTCAAACTGAATGCACTTTGAAAATTCTATGACTCTTGTGAAGGATACAAGTGACAAATTAACAGCTCAAAATTAGCAGTAAGTGGAAGGCAAATCTCCCTGGGTTTCCTAGCAAATGCAGCCTGCTGCTGGCTTGCCAGCCTGGGTGTTAACTTGGACCAGAATGCCTCTTTGGTTGGGTTTCTGCAAAGCATAAGCAAAACTCTCTTCAGCATCTTCTGGCTGCAACAAAGATGTGCGTAGGCCAGTGCCTTGTGGCCAGCAGACTTCACAGAAAAAAGAGAGTAAACTCCTAATTGTCAAGTAATGCAGAACAAGAGAGGAACAGAGAAGATAATGTTAGGGAGCTTTCATTGGGCCAAGCTTCTAAAATACTTCAGGTTAAAGGGCTTTTGTCTTGAAAAGCTTCTGTACTCTGCAAGCATACACAGCTAATGCTGTGCCCTTGAAGGTGTAATGGTCTTTTGTAGAAGCACAGATCACTATCAGCTTTTAATTTCCTTCAAACTTAATTTAATGGGCACTTGAATTTACTTTTAAAAGAAGTAATGTTTAGTGCTGAGGTGGGGTTTATTCTAGCTCATGAATCTCTAGAAGAACTGCCTTTGCAGGCCACAAGGCCAAACAAAATCCCCAAGGTCCAAAGAAATCAAACTCATTTTACACCTAACAGGTGATCAACCCTTCCTTTAGTGAGGTAAACCAGCACTATTCTGCCTTTGTGAAATCCTGCAGTTTTAACCTTGAAACACAGTCTGTGGTGCAAATAACTATTTCTGCATTTAAATTACTATTAGCTAAATAACCAACTGCCAGGAGAGACTTCAGGCTACATCAGTGTCTGAGGCTGGCGAAGTATACTTTATTCAACTGTATCTTAACCTCAGAGCAGCTAAAGGGTAAATTTGAGAGCTCCAACATTTAAATTCAGTGCAGCATGCCTGAATTTAATGGATATTTGCAATAGTGATCCTTCTGGGTGGAGTACTTACAAGCAGGATTTGTAGAGGTGTAGAAGGCTAAAAACAAAAGCCCAGTGAAATAAAAACTTAAGCCCTGTGATCTGTTATTTGCCTGTCAGACTTCAAAACAATAATCCAGTGCACAAAACCCTTATGAAATGACACAATTCAGTCCATCACAATCAGGCTGCTGCAAGTCAGCCCAGTTACAAGGGTGATTTCAGTTATGTGGGTTATCTCAAGGCTTTAAGTTAAGACTTGAAACAGAAAATGAAGGAAAGTAAACTCATTTCTGTCAAGTGTTCACTCCTCAGTGGAGTGTAAGGTGCAATTCTGTACATGGAAGCTGAATAATTTGAGCCATGCTTTCAAATGGTGCTCTTGCCCTACAATTGTAGTTTCTGGTTTCTTCAGCATCATTTATGTACCAACTACCTAACACACTTCCTTATCCTTTAAAAACCATTTTAGCTTTCTCTAGTAATGGCACTGCTCAGTGGTTGGTTTGGTGGACTTTTTGTTGCAGGGTAGAGGAAGTTTGGATATCACAATCTTTGCTTTCTGTGCTGTCTTCTCATAATGGGAATAAAGAAATTGTGTCTTGGTTGAGTGGCTGAGAAGCCTGCAGTGGTGGGGTGGGCTCAGCTCCTTCCTAGTCTGTCATTAGACCACCTACAGCTCAAGGAGGAAAGGGGAGCAGCTGCTTTGTTATAAACATAAAAGCACAAGATGGAAATGAAGCTGCTAATTAATAGGAGCAATTAAAACAACCCTCAGCTTACCAGTTTCTTTTAAATTAAGCTCTTCCTAGCTATTTTAAAAGCAGCAGGAGGAAGACATTCTTTCATAAGCTTTACTCTACATTTGGGGTCATAGGAAGAGCGCCTCAGAGGCAAATGCAGATCCATGTACTTACATTTATAAAACTAACATTCAGCTCTTTGGCGGTGTATCCTCGTTGGAGATTGCGCCTGGCATACACATCATAGTCCCGCACGATCCTTGTGATGATATCAGATGTGGAGATACCTTCAGTTCTCTGTGTTGGTACAAACATTCCTGAGCAAAGTGGGAAAACAAAGCCTGCTGAGAAAGCCCACTAGGATCAGGCACTGCAGCAGGTGGCTGAGGATGAACACAGAAACACCTGACCAAAGGGAAGAGACTTGCAATTCTACCTGTCTTATTCCTAGTTCTTTCCTGTTGTTCCCGTGTGAGCTTTGGGAAGGCACTAGAAGATACTGAACTGCTGTACTGTTCATTTTCCCTCAAGTCTTCAGAAGGAAGCTTCAGAAAGGCTACAACTTCAGTGTCAGCTATGATGTGGAAGTTACTAGACTGGCAGGTGCTCCAGAGCTGGGAAGGCTAAACCTCACAGCTGTGGCAATTCACTGAGCAGTTCTTTCCATAAGTGTATTCTTTAATGTTACATAAAGGAGCTGGGGTTGGCTTTTACTCATGCTATCAATAGGGCATTTGCTGCTTTCCTGCATATTTCCACTCTCTCCTCCACTCCTGCACTGCACCATCTGACAGTCTTTGTTCTGCTGAGTAAAACAGACCAACTCCTGGCCTTGGCCAAAGCCAGGAAGTGCCTTCAGGTAAAAGATGCATTACAAGAACTGGAAAACATTGTGGAGGTGCCAGTAGCTTGTAACAGAAAGGTGAAGCATAATGGCAGTGTGAACAAGCATGGATATACCACAGGGACTGAGGGTATCAATCTCTATAACCCCCATTTCATGTCCACTGGGCCATGTCAGTGGCTGCATAACCTCTCTCCCTGCTCCAACAGATCAGTCCCTAAGAAAACTGGCTGCTTATTAATAGTGCTTGTATTTTCATCAACACAGCTGGGTTATATACTGCTTTTTAATTGCTCCTCATTAAGACAAACTCACTTGAACTGTTAATGCAAGTCACAAAGGCAATAATAGCAGAGTGCTAGCACACCTTGGTTTAGTAGTTATTTAGGGCTACAAAAAAAATTACTTCTCTCATGGGTAATTGCAACATCAAGCTGCTGATGAGAGGGAGCTGAGAGATAAGACTGGAAATGGTTTTGCAAAAAAAAAGTAGTGCTTTGTCTTAAAAGTGTGCTATAGCTACCAGCAAATTAATCCTCCCATGTTCTTGAAGTAGACAGGCATTGCTACCTAGTTTCATAGGGTTAGAAAAAGATCTGGAGAAGGAATCAAGCAGCTTAGCAGTCTCTTGTGACTAACTGCTATGTGATAGTTTTTCTTTCTGATCTCTAATTAATACTCTGCTAAAAAGTAGATTATTTTAATCATGAGCAGAGAGGTTTCCCTGATCGTGCTTTTCAGGCTTGCAGCAGTCACTCAAGGAACTATTTTTGGAAGCAGTGAAACCCACTTTGAGCCAGAAGCCTTTATAGATAAGAGCTACAAGAATACATGAACAAATCCAAACTCTACCCTTGCTAAAAAAACAGAACTGATTTTAAGAAGGTTCACAAACCCATGTATGAGAACATTACCTTTTGTCACTGATGTTGCTTTCATATGTTTCACATGTTGGACTGATTCATGTTTTCCAAACTAACTGTTCAGATGTGCAGATGTTTAGTCAGCACACAGTTATCCAGCTTAACATCCCTGTGCCATCCCACCCACTGAAGAGAGTGGGGAAATGGGAGCCCATGGGACTCTACACAAGTAGCTCCACAGTTCCCATCTGCTTCTCTGCTCTCCAGCAACCTGGTGTGGAAAAATGGGAGTACTCATTGCCTAGTGAAGTCAGTTGGTGCTGGCTCTGAAACTGTAGGACAGCAGTTTCCAAAGGGTTGTGAGTCTGACACCACAGTGAGGTTTGCAAGTAGAAAAAGATCAAGAACTGCTGCTATAAAAAGCTTATTCTTGCAGCTCAGTTGAATACATTGTATACCTTGAGAAGGTCACTTTGCATGACAAGCTTGCTCTGGATGTTTTTTTAAGCCTCCAATATACATGTTTTTGTTTACAGAGAGAGGATGGATTTGCCAAAGTTCAAAGCAGCACCGCTAGGGAGCAGGAGGAGGAAGGTATGATCAGTTCCTCCTCTGGCACTGTTTACTGTGTTAGGATAGCTGCTGCTGGCAAAAGTGGGTTAACATTATCTCCTCAGAATTAATTCAGCTTCCTTGAGCAGTGAAAAGAACCCACAGTGCAAAGCAGAAGTGGATCCTAATGGCTCTAGAAGGCTGCCTATGCTTGCCCATATTCAGGACTGGGCTGTGTCAAGGAGTCATCAGTTCCCAGTTACCAACAAATATCTGAAGTTGGCTGGGCTGCTGTAGGAAATAAACTCATTTTCACCCACTCAAAGCTTTTACTCAGGGACACATAAATTGCTTTAAAAGCCCAGAGGGGACTGTTTCATGACAGATCTGAATGGTTTCCTGGGCGTTATAGCAGGAATTCAGCTAAGGACATTCTTTGTGGTTTTACAAAGTGAATCTTCCTGCTGGAGTCAACAGTACCTACTATTAGGGTGTAAGAGAATGTGATATTATCTCTCCTCCTTCTCTCCCAGCAGTTGTGGTCAAAAGGCAGTAAAAGAATTTGAGCTGAGGCTGAAAATGAAGGTGCTAAAAATGAAAAGTTGCCCTTACCTGCCTCCTTTATGTGTTTGTATACATCATCCGAGCCAGCGGAAGAGTACGGGATGTCATCATGGGCTACAAAGTCAATCTGCCAGTGAACAGAAGAATAATCACATGCCACCATCACTGAATTTTGGTTCAGTAAGGGGTCGATGTGGAGGATCATCTCTTTTCTCGACTTCAGCTGACTTGCTTTTGACATTCTCATTCTAAAGCCATCACCTAGAATATTGCACTAGATTTAGGCCTACAACTGCTGTGTTGCATGATCAATATGAAAGAACAGAAACCTTGTCTCCAGAAGCATTGCCATGAACACATCATTCTGACTCGCTCTGTGTGACATTCTGTAGAAAATGAAGATGCCTGTTCCTACTTTTGTTGCTACTGGAAGAAATAAGTCAAGTGGCAAAGCTTTCAAAACCATGGGGGCAGGATTCTTTATTCTGCCTCCTTAGGGCTTTGTATATATATGTGTATACCTAGTACTGTCTTTTTGTCAGCCAATGATGTGGGTACTAACATATATCTGAGTTATTTATGCTTTGTTAAGTTTCATATATATTTCAAGACAGTCAATAGCATGTAAGAAATTCTATCCTGCCTCTAAGGGGACACATGACATTTTTATGTATTTCTGGCCAATTATTTCATCTGTTGCCATTAATAAGAAATGTGTCTTTTATTTGGGACTTTAGTCATTACATGATAACTTTTGTGGTTTATGATCTCCTTCCCTGGAATTCAGTTTGTGAATAATTCTTCAGTGTTACTTTGCCATTCAAAACTCCCACTACAAGAATCATCTCAGTGTATTGAGGAAAAAAAAAAAAAGGCAAGACAAACACATTTGCTGAAAAAGGTGGAGGCAAAATCCACCATGTACAGTGTTTTTTTCAGTGACTGAAATTAACTGAATTAAATAATTTGTTACACCTAATAGGATTTCACAGACTTGCTGTTAATTCTTAATTGTCAGTCTACAAAGGGCAAGGGAAGAATACGGGGAGAAATGTACCTTATGTTTTTCAAGGAACTCGGGTGTCAGCGTCCAGGGTGCATCTCTGATGACCTCATCCACATAGCGACAGTGTCTGAGGGCTTCATATCGCTCAGTTTCATTCATCACAGTGAAGCCTTTGAATTTATGAGTTAAATCATCACTGCAAACTGAAATATGGAAGTATAAACAAAATGGCCCCACAATAAGTAGAATTAGCATAACCAGCAGCTGATTATTTCTTAATAATTCCATTAAGGACTTAGTTACTAGCTTAGCTAATTTTGGGGTGCTCCAGGGCATCTGAGTTCTGCTCAGGGTTAGCAGGTACAACCATAGACTTCTGAGAGAGCCTTTCCTTTCTGCAGCTGTAGCCAGAGGCCCAGTGATACACTGCTGAACATCACTGGTGGTCCAGTATGCCCATGTTAAGACAACTCAATCCCACTGTAAGCGGGGGTTTCATGGGCTGTGAAATTTCAGGGGCAATGGTTAGTGCTTTAGAAAGAGTTCAGAAGTGCAGTTTTGGCAATCACAGAATGTTTGCAAACTTAACAAAACAGTCGAGGCAGGAAAGCGCCAGTGGACATCACCTAATGCAACCTCGCTCCTTACAGCAAGGTCGAACACAGCAGACTGCTCAGGGCCTCATCCAGCTGAGTTCCCGAAGATGGAGACCCCTCAGCTTTTCTGGGCCTTCCCACTTTTTGTGCTTATGTAAATGATACTCTAAATGATGAACTTGCCAACAAAGGTTTAAATCCCAGCAGAAGAGTTTCTCACTAGACACTGATGGAAAACAGGCCATGGCACATTTTATAGGAATCTGCCTCTGAATTTAGGTTTGAGTTCAGCAGGTTTCACAAAAAGAGAAGTAAGGCTTGTGCCATGTTTAAATAGGAAATCACAGAAGGAATATCCATAGAAAGGACTGGGAGAAGCCCTATGCCCTAGTGGAATGGGCAGATTTAAAAGCCTGTAAATCCTGTGTCCTTACCTCTGATACTCTGTCCTTAATACTTTGTCACATTGCTTTTAAAATGAAGGGAAGCAACACCCATGTTACCAGAGGACTATAAAAGTTGGGTATTATCTTTCTATGTTTCTCAGAATGTTGCATAAAACAGTGACTCGTCCCCATTGTAACTGTCCAATATTACACCTACAATAGTCATTTGACACTCCAGATGGAATAATGTGATACCCATTTATAGCTGGGTTGACAGTGGTGGTCCTTCAACACAGGTCAAACCTGTGCCTTTGGATCTCACTCATCTGTGACACTGAGACAAACAGTAAATATACTTGACAAGTGATAAATGCAATGTTATTAGTGCTGCAGGGAAGTGTGACAGCAGCCCTACAGCTGCTGCTTCTTTCTAATTTGAAAACATCAACCTATCAGGCAAGGTGCTGGCAAAGATGCTGCCTTTTTTTGAGAACTAAAATGGATGTTCTTGCTGTGATGGTCGTTAAGGACCTTTATAGTAGCAAAAATGTAGGAAGGCTCTGGAGTGCATGCAAAATCCAAAGCCAGATAATAATACACATATGAATTTCAACTAGCAGAATGATACTCAATCCTATTATGTCATTTTTGATGCCTGCAGACAAGAAATTTAATGGAGATCAATGCATTTTCAGTAGGAAGATCCCATCTGAGATTGTATTTATACTTATTTACAGCCTTTATGTCACCTTAAAGCTACAGTCTTCTGGAAAAAGGCTCTACTAAAATTATTGGAAAGCAGTAATTTTTGCTTGAATTCTGTAGAAAGGTTTGATCTTATTTCTGATTACTTTTGTTAATGTGCAGTGCAGACACAATATCTTCATTTCCCTTTGATTCTGTCATCCTGCTCTAATGATTGATTTGGGAAGGTATAAAGGTCTACTAAAAAATAACAATTGTAGCTCCAAATAATTGTCTTCAAAATGAGAAATAGAACGGGTTGGTTGTGGTGCCCACAAAGACTTATGACACCAGTGCTTTTGCAGCACAAATTGTATGTGGGTGTGGAAAGGCGCCCATTTTTCAAACATGCTAAGACACAGTGCCTTGCTGGGAAAAGGTGCTGATGAGTGCTGGCTGCTTTGTCCTTCACTACAAAAATAAGGGCAAAATGAAGGTATGTCATGAATTTCAAAGGAGCCAGGCTTTTGCCCCAGAGCTCCTTTACTGATCTGGGACACCCCCCACTCCTTTAAAAGCAACAACAAAACCTACGTAACTTGGGAGTTTTTTTAAACCTCACAGTCTTGCACCCCCACCTGCTTCTTCTGCAAGCTATCTGGCTCAACAAGAAAACAAGAGTCATAATGTTTCCTTCATAACAAAGGGATGTCTCCTTTCCCTCCAAGGGAATTACCTTATTTCATAAATTTAAGAGTAAACCCAAAAAGTGTGTTTACAAGGAGCTTTTCCTCTTCCTCTATCTTGGGGTTTTTTTCCTCCCCTTTCAACTGATGTGGGACAAAGATGCAAAACAATGCATCTTAGTAAGTGTCTGAAGGCTGCATTCACATTTGCTTTATCATCACTGCTGCAAGCATTTGAGCAGCTGAAGGTTGCTGTGAAATGTTTATGAGAGGCATATCTGAGCCCCAAAAGTGCAGGGAAACTGGAACCAAAATGTATGTTTATGAGGCCTCAGGAGAGTAGAGCTAGGCAGGAAAGAGCCACCCTCCAGTGACAACTCAGGCGCACACCAACTGCTGAACAGCTGTTAGGCAACCACACAGCAAGAAAAGAAGATACTCATAGCAAAAATACTTATAAGAAAGTAACCTGCCCAGGGACACTTGTGAGCTAAAAACTACATTCAAATCATAACCTATATTTGGGCCTCCAATGATAACAGGCCAGATTTAGCTTCTCTCCTGATATTGAAGGCTAGGTCTGCACACACACACTGACCTGGCAGGCAGGAGCCGTGGGCTGTGCCTGGCTGGCAGAGGGACTGAGAAGCCAGAAATAAATGAGTGGTTGATCTCATTCACTCATCTCCATCTTTGAACAATTTTGAGTGAATAACTGAAAAAGGTAAATTATTCATATGGAGCTATTCTAAGCTCAAAGTCATGCAGGCACCTGCTTTAACTAAACGGGAATTGTGCCTGTACTGCTGAGGGCAGAATTTGACTTTTACTTTAATTGATGCAATTGTAAGATATAATTCAAGGCAAATGGCCTATAGAAAGCCCCCAGAGTGAAAGCAGCATTCAAAGTCATAGTGTATAAACAGCTGGGGGTGTGGGTATGGCAATAACTCTCTAATACTGAAGCACAGAAGCAAAAATTCAGTGCAATAAATAACTCTGATCTTACCTCCTACTAATAAGTAGCTATTTGGAAATAGAGTTTTGGCTTGCATAAGAGCTCTAGCATGGCCAGAGTGGAAGAGGTCAAATATCCCATCTGCATACACTCTGACAGGTCTGTCAACTGTGGAAAAAGAAACACAACAGTAATTTTTCAGACCCAAACAAGTTGCACTTAATTGTACTGGACAGGGTTTTGTTCCCAGATGATTGTGGAGATTCACCCCAGTTCTGATGCTCAAAGGCACCATGGGTAGACTTGGAGTGTTTTATCCTGCTCATTACTTGTCCTTCTCTCTTCTCTCTGCTGTTTTCTCTCAGACTTAGCCTATTTATTATCATCCATCATCCCTATATTCTAATTTAGCAAAAATGTCATCTTCCTGCCTCATTCAGGGTTCCACCATATGCCTTGTTCTTTTCTCTCTGCCTTTCTAGTCAGTTCTACCTTCTGGATTTTTCTTTTTTTTTCCATATTTTTTCATATCATCTCCCTTTTCCTCCTCTCTTGTCTGTGACTTTCTTTTTTCCACAGCGTAGTGCTGTAAAAACGTATTGCTTATGTCTTCTACATAAACTTTCACCTCCCTTCTTTCATACTTCCACCAAGCTTTTCTCTCTAACAAGCCTATGATGTCTTTTTCTTACCATCCTCCTGCTATTACCTTTATAACTCTTACTTTCTGTATGACATCTTCAGCAGCAGGCTCCAAACAGAAAAAGGACTTGCTTTACCAAATGACACAAGTAACAGCTGTGCCATTTCCAAGCAAAAGGACAGTGGAGATGAGAGCAACAGAGCTCCAGCCTTCGTGGACTGTAGTTCAGTGCTACAGAGAGATGTCTCTGCTGTCAGGACATCCCAGGGAGAACACTGTTCCTTGCAGAGCTGACTGGAAAGCTGCGGCTTACCCCGATAGAGTGTACACGTTTTGAAAGCTTATTTTAAATAAGTAAAGTAAGTAAACAAAAGTGCTTTTTTTTTTAAGTCTCTTGTAATTTAGGGGGCGCTGAAGTACATATCTGGGACTTTATGTGAAATCATCCCATTTTTGCAGCCCAGCCACAAACATTCAGATAAAGAAATTGGGCATGGTTTCTTTGCAGACAGCAAATGGCCTTTAAGGCCACTGAAGATCTGATGTGATCAACAAGAACATTATTGAAATAAGATTTCCAGCATACAGGGGCAACATGGGAAGAGAATCCAGGAGGTAGCCACTACACAAAACAATTTTCAGGCTGTCTGAAGTGGGCTGACAAGCCTTCCTTCTGACCAACATGTGGACATCCATGAAAACATCAAACTCTAACTTGAAATGTTTTCTCTTGTTTTTTTCTCTAACAGAAGATAATGGCCCTATAGTTGCTGCTTTCTTCCCCATTACCTGACAGCACCAGATACCAGACTGGCCTTTCTGCTTCCAAGTGGAAGGCACAAGTGGGCATTGACAGATATAAGGGAGAGCCTGTGCTTTGGGAGCACCCACTGCTGATGCAGTTCTCTCCACATACCTGGTGTTCCCAGGCGGGCTTGTGCGATGGTTAGCTTCTCATGGGGAGCTTGGCACTGACAGCTTGTTTCATCGGCAAATGGAGCAGGTGTTGTCAGAGTCTGGAAGGAGGAAAAAACACAAAGAAAATAAAAATATTTTTCCATCAAGTAGTTAAAAAAGAACCATCTAGCTAGTGCAGGATGCTATAACCTGGCTTAATGCTGGTTTGTTCTCTAAGGTGTTTTGCTTTTTGGTCACCCCTTTTGGAGCATACACAATTCACACAAGGTAAAATGATGAGGAAAAGAAAGCTTTCCAAACACATCATGCAACCTAATTCTTTGTTGAAAAGCTCAAACATTTTTGAGGTGGGTGCATTTACATCTTTTTTTTCCTGTTTGCAGAACAAAGTCAGGTTTGATGGTACAAGCAGCTTAATCCTTTGTTAGGTCTCAATGACTCCAAAGGCCCAAGATGCAAAATGTGTTCTGCTACCTGTAAATAATAGCTGGGTAAAATAACTGGGATTTGGAAAGTTTCAAATGAGCCACCTCTTCATAAGCACCAGTTCTTTCCACTGACATCAGTGGGACTGCGGGTTGTTTTGCTGTGTTTTTAATCAGTATCCTATATAATTTTGAGGAGCCATTCAAAACAATGCAAGAATGCAACCAGAAGCCCCACCTAACTAAAGCTAACCAGGCTGCAACTCCTTTCTCTGGTCTGACACATACTGTAATAGTACTAACGCTCTGCAATCACAGCACTACAAGAGTAATTGCTCTGAAGAGCTTACAGCCTAAAGATACAAGAGAGGGAGTAAGGATGTATGAAGAATGACGTGGCATTATCTGTCAGGAAACTTGATTTCAGAAACTGTATTTTCTGCCCATGCCTATGTAGGATGTTATCAGCGATCAGAACCAGATATTTATTACCTTCCATATGGTCTGATATGAAAAAACATGCTTCTACTGCTCTTGGCTTGAAATCTTTAAGAAATCATAGCTGAATTTTGGGTTGCTTTGTTTTTGTGAGATGAGGTGATGGCTGAGGCAAGCCGAAGGAAATCTATCATCCACTTTGCCTCTACCACAATTTAACTGGGACCCTGTGGCCTTGCAGCTGTGGTTTGGTTGGGTTTTGACAGTGACCGCTCGTGTGATGCACAGTTGTCATACCAGTTTGAGTATCCATGGTCTATCATAACAGAAACTCTTTCCCCCTTTACACTTTTTTCAGCTTTTAGATGCTGAATGCTTTTATTTTCTTTAGCATCCCTGAGATGTTTTAAGACATGTCATGCCTAATTGCTGCTGACTATGGTCTCACCGGCTTATTGCATGGAAAGCTCAGAGGACAGTAGTAAAATGACAGCAAAGACTTAAAGATTCATATCCAGCTCTTTCTGCTGATTTACTATTAATTTTGTCTACTGAAAGCACTAAAATTTTATGCAGATTTCCCCCCCCCCCCCCTCCATTTTTCTTTCCTTTCCTTTCTTTTTTTTTTTTTTTTTTTGTAATCTTCAGTGTTGCAGGAAATCATCATCACTAGTATTTTAATGATGAAAATCACAGCATCTCTGTACAGACAAGGTTAAAAATGGAGAAACTATGACCAAGTCCAGGTTTCTGGGTTTCGTGGACAGACGCTGTTCATCAGGCCACCCATGCTGCACAGTGTAGAACATTACACATAATCATACCACACCAGCTCCTTTATTTTCTAAATACTGTCTTTTTGCTTCTGGCTTTGTGATCTCTGTGTGCTAACCTGTCTTTTCATCTCCAAGCAAGGTCAAGTTACACAGCAGCCCATACAGCCTGATTCCTGCTGGGATAAAGATGAAGGCAGAAATGTTAAAACAATAATGGCTATGGTCTGAGGCCTGCAACTGGGAATCAGATCGTAGCTCAGCATAGGCTGTTTCCTTGGAGATTACTTGAAGAAAATAGGCCAGGTTTGCAGGAAGCTATCTTTCCCCCCTACCCCAGGCAAACACAGTGATGCTTTTAATCCATGTAAATGCCTTTGCCACACTAAAATTTTTCCCCCAGCCTCTGCTCAATGAAGAACCACCTCTATAAGCTTCTCATCCGTCCAGCTTTTGTAAACGCTCATCATTAAAGTTCACTTTATGGCCAACCAGACCTGTCAATATTCCCATTACCCAGTGACCTCTAAGTCACTGGATATGAAAATACATTGAATACAATAGATTAAAATCAGCAATATTTCATCAAAGCCACATAGAGAAATGCATAAATATCACGTGCTGACAGATTAAGGGAAATACAGCAGTAGCTTCCCAAAAAGTAACTATTTCATTTTATGTGGCTTAGAAAAAATGTTGCTGAGCTTAACAAAAAAATCTTGTGAGTAAAATAAGATGGGATCATTTGAGCATAAGAGAAAATATTTCAAGAAATTATTAAATCCCAGAAATAATTTATCACACCTTTTTCAGTCTGCATATAATTGCTTGTATTCTTTCCAGCTTCTTGTCAGTATTAACTAGAATTGGGAGAAGAGAGCAAGTAATTTACATAGCAACTTTTCATTTTGGTTAATCCATTAAATTACTTTTAGAAGTTTGCTTAGTTTTGCCAATAACCAGATGGCTAGACAAAGACTTTGTGCAAATGTACTTCTGTCTTTCCCTGACAGATTTCCCTTCATCTGTGCCTTCATTATTTTCTAGGCATTTACATTTTGCAATTAGTCAAGCAAGTCAAATTAGCCTTGTATTTTGGATCAAGGTGAGCTGCTGAGATCTGCATCATCCTGTAGCAGGGTGCTCTACAGCCTAAGTGCAAGTTTAGTGATGCATTATCTCATTTTGTTTGTTCAGCACCTGCCTCCTCCTTGTGTAATTTGGTATTTTTGTACTGGAAGCTTCAGTAAATTCATCCATAGTCACCTGTTCCCTGCCTCTATCTTTTCTCCCCTCAGTCACATTTTCAGGCTGAAGAGCTTTGCCACATTTATTTGTATGGAAGCTGGCAGGCAACTTTGATTATTTTTTGTAGCCCTTCTCTGTTAAATGCAAGGTGAGTTTTACAGTGTTTGAACTGATAATTCCTCTGGCTTCTAGAGCTTTAATAGATAGGAATAGAAAATCATTTACATGGTGCTCACGCTTTGTGGTTATATCTTTGACAACATAAGCACCTTACACCTGGTGTCAGCAAGGAGACCTTACTTTCATTTAAGTAGACCAAATGCCACATCATTACTGTATTATTAATATGCAGTGTCTACAGAAAGCTTATTACTTGTTGTAAATGGAGAGTCACTGGACTCTCTCCATTAGGACATGTTAGTGATACTTCAGAAGATGTTAAAAAACTCTTGCAATGCAAGGACTATTTCCTGGGAATGAAGATGCTGCATTCAATTATAATTTAATTCACTTCCATCCTGTCCAATAACCCCTGCATATCAGAAACCATTCATTCTATGACAAGTTTAAATAGTATCTTACTTGCATTCTCACAATTTTGCAAAATAACTGAATGATGCTCAATAAACTTCAGGACATTAAAAGATGGAAGGTAGGTAAAGGGGGGCTTCCTAGCAAATGCCTCACAGTTTCATTTGCACCCATTACCATCTTTGTAACCCCTGACTATATTTAATGAGATGGAATCTCAAAGAGAAGAGTAGATTGTGGTAGGCAGCTCTGAGCTGGTTCTGTGGTGAGATACTTCGTGAAGAAACCCTAAGTGACAGCTAGAAGCAGCTTATTTTCAGATATATCTCGATGCTGCTGTTCTATTATCATTCTTCATAATAGCCATTTAACTCAGCTGCTAGTAAAAAAAATAAACATTCATAGCTTATGTTTCCAGTGAAGTAAAAGGAAAGTGGCAATTTGTAGTGGAGTCATACCACTGAAATAACAGGTTAAAGGCACAAGCAGCTCCACACACTCCCTTTTGTTTACAGGATATAATTAATTGGGTTGTTTGCTTGTTTTCCACGTTTGGTTATTGGTTGTGTTTTTTATATAGCAGCAAGGAAGACAGAAATTTTTTTTAAATGAGCAAACGTAGATCCATCTATGCCATAGTGCATCTGCCATTGTGGCTCTGCCTGTAGAGTAATTGCGTGCACCATGTGCTAATGGAAGGTGCCAATCTTTCATTTTCTCTCCTCTTTTTTTCTTTTTAAATTCACACAACTACACTACCTTCCTCACCACATGACACAGACAAAACTGTTGTCCTCTTTGTATACAGAAGAGATGTACCGTCATCTAAGATTTTGCCATCAACAAATGTCTAACAAATTTTCAGGTCTTGAACCACTACAGCTACACAGGCAAAACTTGGTAGAGCAGGCTGGGCCTGTGCTTTTAAAACAATTGAGCTGACAGACAAATTCTGTGGGAGGTCTGATGCTGTAATCTCCTTTTATCTCAGAGGCAGTATTTAAAACACATAACTCATTTTACTGGAACAAATCATGTGGGTAAGATCTGCTCATGTAAGGAAAGATTATTTTGGGAACCTGCTCCTGATGTTGGCAAACAATAATTACAGGGCAAGAAACACTGACATCAGTTTTAAGGCATGTTTAAAAGAAAAACGCTATCAAAACTCTTGAGAATGAATTAAAAATACATGCTGAATTTCTTAAGTATGAATACTCTTTGCAAGTGGAAAGACCATGTTAAGGACTACCAGAGTCTTCTCTTAATGGTTCAGGGAGTGAACATTATGAAAGATGAAACTGAGGTTGTCTCATATATTGCCTTTAGTAACCTTGACCCAAACAGTTAAATTTATGAGCAGTTAAGTAAGTCGTAACTGAGTGTTATTGGTATGTGCCTCCAGGTAAGTTTTTCACAAACAATTCCAATATTAATGCATGTATAAAAAGAAAACCTAGCCTGTTCTCCCACAGTTCTGCTGACTGAAGGAAGTGGATGTAAACTAAAAACAGGGCAAACTAACCTAAAAAGAACAATAACTTAAAAAAAGAAATAAAATCTGTTTGCAAGCATTCCAAATTGCCTTATTCTCAGTTGCTCTTTTTGGGCTTTATCTTCAATCAAATATACTTTGCTGCTTGTTAGTATTGTCAGTAATGATTAAGTACAAGATGCAACTACAAATGGAAGATATCACACAAGAAAAGCAGTTCCCACTGCCTTCTCAAGAAGCACAATGATGTATATATGTACAGATTAATAGATTATGAAACTAGAACAACTATTATATAATCTAGTCTAGTACTTGCAAAAGGCCAAAGAATTTCATGACAGGATTCCTGTGTGCCAGCCATAACTTTTGACTGAACTGGAATATGCTATTTAGAAAATAAAACCCATCCTAGAGGTAGGATGGCCCCCAAGTCAAGCAGAACTCAAGTGAAAGAACTGCTGCTGAAGCACCTCAATCTCCATGAACAGCAGCTGGAAAAGAATCGTGACCCTTGAGAGCTTACCCACCTGAGCCTGCTCCCTCCACAGCTGGAAGGAGCGCTGCTTACAAGTGACCCAGGTAGGACTCACTGAAAGACCAAACTACAGCTAAGGTGGCATGCAGCCTATGAGCCTAGATATCCTCTTGTCCTGATGGCTAAAGACCTAGCCAAGCTGTCAGATGTCCCAGCACTGAGGAGGGATATGCAGTATTTCAGGATAAAGAAGTGTGTGGCTCCTTCAACAGGGCAGTGGTTATCACATGGAAGCCTGCAGACACCATGGCAAAACAAGGACATTGCAGCGGGACCGCAGAATCAAACTGCCCATGGTGCATTTGCAATTCAAAGCTGAATGGCAGGTGCTTGCTGGCCCACAAGTAATGCTGAGGTTTGGCCACAGTCAACAGACCAAAAACATGTAACCACTGCTCTAATGCCACTCTGTGTTCTATTGATCAATCCAGAAAATGGAGATAATGTCAGTTCATATGGTTTAGATTTCTAATACCCATTTCTTTTTGCTTGTACATTACTGTACAAACCTGATGTATGGCATAAAGGACCTAACTTCATCTTCAATGTAAGCAAGGGTTAATCTACTGAAATCAACTGAGTGATAGCTAAACTACTGCATGAATCTGACCCAGTATTCAATCTCTACTTGTGCTTCTACATAAAGAAACTTAATGCCTATCATCAATTATTTCATGTCAGATGTAGGCCAGCATTTTGTATAAACCGTTACTCAAAACAGAGCTGTGTTGAAGCTAAAAACCCCACCATTTTTCCTCATGCACAGGAGGCACATAATCTCTGCAGCTCCCCAGCTGGCAGAAGCACCCTGGGAAGAAGTATTTTCCCAAAGGGAGTGCACTGGGCTTCTCTACCAAATCCCTGAATCATCCAGTGCCTTTCACAGGAGCTTTTCACCTTATGCCATCTGCCTACGTGTGTGTAGGAAAGGAAAGCAGATTACATGGAAACAAAGGTATAAGCACATATTGGGATAGACAGTTCTGGCTGCATTGAGTGTCTATGCACAATCCTGGACGTGTGGTTACGCGCTACACATACCTTTTGCCTGGATGGTTAGCATTTGGTTCCTAATTCTTTATTTCTTCTGTTCCATATCCATATATGTGTTCAATTATTTTTTTTACATTTTATAGCTATGTTACATTATAATGTGTTTTTGAGGAGGGAGCAGAAGGAATCTATTTACACTGATTTTCTTACACCTTTTTAAAGATATGATACAAACCTTCACAGTAATGACAACAGCACAGTTTAAGAAATTGGTAATATTCTACTAATAAAAGCTGCTTCTAAAATAGAACCTCATATATACATTTGACAGCAAGGAATGCAATACATAGAATGTAATGTTTTCTCCCTGTGTTTGTGTGTCATTTGTGAATCCTGCAAAAATATCTGTAGTTCTGCATGAATATGTATCTTCAGAGATGGAACTATGACATTCCAGAACATAAACCAGTTCCATGTCCTTTGATGTAGTAAAGGGAAATCACAACAGACTTTTGGTGTCTTTTAAGTGCAGCAAGATTTTTACATGTCCCCATGTGCCAACCATATCTGGCATGTTTCTATGGGTTTGTGCTTTTATGTGTAGCCAACATTTCTGAAAATGAAAACTGACCCAGAGCAAAATCCAAACTTGTAAAGAACCAAAAAGATATTTGGTCAAATAAAGTCATTTGGGATTCCTTAATTGTAAGGCTATTTACATATATATATTTATTCTTAGTTCCACATTGAAGTAAACAGATGGCAGACCCCCTAAGTCATAACATCACGTGAGAGAGAAACAGATGCATGGGACACTTTTAAACCACAATAAAACCTCCTAAATTCATCATTAGCTCCTCTGATTAAAATTGCATATACTTTTCAGTGACACAGGAAAGATAAATAGAACGCTCATGGAAATAAAACATCTGAAATCACTCTAGAGGTTTCATCAGACCCTCTCAAAATCTCATTTTCAAATACAGAGGGAGTAAGGCATCCAGGGATGAAAACATAGGAATCCAAGGCATGCAAGGTTTTGTTGCAATTATTTCAAATGTTGTGTTTAACATTTCATTGCTTAGCAGCAGCAACAAAGAAATTGTCTAAAGGAGTCTAGTGCCCTTTTAAACCATTATACAGCTCTGAGTGAAACTACTAAAACATTCTCCTCTACCCTTCAATAAAAGTACCCCAGTGTGTTCCAAATGTCCTCAAATAATTTGAAAAAAATTCATGTGCTCTCATTTCTTCTAAAAAAATCAGTAAAATGGCTAAAGCAGCCAATACCTAAAATGATGTGAGAACTGTGATCTTTAATTGTACCTGAGTCTCATTCTCCGAAGTACTGTAGATTCAGTGGCCACAAGATAATTGATACCTATTTCCTATTGAACTGTAGAAGTCTGTAGCTTCTGAATCTCAAGTCAAGGCAGTAGAAGTAAATCCAGGCTTGGGAGCAAGCACTGGGATAGCCAGGGTGAACCTCAAATGGCCCTGATGCTTAAAGTGCCTTTGCAGAACATGTTTTATCTGCCACATGGATAGGTCCTAGGTCTCCAGCTACTCTGCCCTTCTAGTGGTGATGCTGAGCAGAAAAAAATAGGTGTGTACTTCTCACGGGGCCCTGATGCCATTTCCTGCACAGGCAAATGAGATCTGGCCACAGCTCGAACTGCCTGAGAAAAGGCATCTGATGGTAGGCAGCACAGATCTCATTTAACAGTGATCTCAGGTACAGCCCAGTACTCCTGGGATCACATTGCCAAGGACAGAGCAGACACAGCAAAAAGCACCTATCTGCTTCTTTACATCATCTTGAAGATAGATTCACTTTACTTTCAATTTATGAAAACTGCTGCTTAACTCCTGCCTGGCCCTCTACCCATCATCGTCCCTGCGACCACAGCCCAAAACAACCACCTACCTATCTACTACCTCTCATCCCCTGTAGCTAACCTTGCGTTTATTCAGGTGGATTTGGTTTCTTAAGGTTCCTTAAGTTGTTCCTAACTTTCCCTGTGAAGAGCCTGTATTCTTGATTTGGGCTCAATCTTACATTGCACTCAAAGCACAATGAGGTAAGCACTGTGATGGAAATGTATGTTTCATTGCCCTGGATTCCCTTAGCTGACCTAAGGACTTCAGCCAGTTTTGGAAACAAAACATTGGTACCCAGGACCCAACAGTACATCCCCAGATGTTCCTACTGATGCCTGTGTAGGATGACAGAGGCGTTAAATATAAGGAAAAGAAGCTCGCAGTGTGTTCAAGGGGAAGATGAGATCAAGCAGTAAGTTTTGAAGTTTAAGTGAGTTTCAATGTGTATTTGCTTCTGGTTTATCTGCAGCACTGTCCTTATAAACTGCCATTGTTTCCTTTTATGAAAGACACTCTGGAATTACCTTCCTGGACAAAGTGTGTTGAATGCCTGTTTGTTTCTTGCAGGGTGAAGACTCAGGGTAATTCTCAATGTGCACACCACTGCTTTAAGCAGCTGCCCGCATGTGGGACCAAAGTCAAACTCTTGATAACAAAGGACATAAGTAAATTACAAAAAAAATAAGCAAATCATTTCACAAGGCTTTGTAGTTACTCTTTGGTGTTCCCTCCTATGGTATCTCTGCCATCCAGTCAAACTAAGAGCTTGTCTTTTTTGCAGGACTTTTTAGTACAGACTCACACAGGTAAACCCTAATGCTGGGATAAACATAAAACTATACAAACCAGGACTGGAGAAATGCTATTTCTGTTTAGTTCTTTACTTGACTACAAAACTGCTAAAATCACTGCTATGGATAAAGCCTATGACTCTAATTGGTTTGTTGCCCTGTTGTGCATTGAGACTAAGGTACGTGCGTCACTCAGAAAGAGATTTGCCTGGCATTCAGGTATGTGGAAGTTGAAAATGTAAAAAAGGCAAAGATTAAGTGAGAGATGGACCAGGGGAGTTGACTGAAGCACAAATGCTCATTAATGCTCTAGTTGGTTATGAAAACCCAAAGAGTGTCTTGGGGAAAAAAAATAATCGCAATTTATATCACAACAGTACTAGGCACTGGAAAACACCAGGTCCCAGTACATACTGAAACTTAAGAATTGCCTTCAGTGTCCCATATCTTCCTGCTCTTTGAAGGAGATAGGGGCTTTCTTTAGTCCTACTGTGACACTTACTGCCAAGCTAGCAGGGTCCATATCCTAAAATCAGAGGATCTAGTGCAGGTATCCATTAAAAATATTCACAATTGTAAGGCTTTAAATAAATAATTCCTATTTCAATGAAAAGGATGACAACTATTTCAGAAAAATCTAACCCTCTTTCACCTTCTAAAATTTGAGCTGATTTGAAGTTACATTTTTTTCTTTACAAAAATTGTTTCCTAAAAATTAGCCTATATCAAGGACTTTAAAACCCAGACAATTGATTTTCAGGACATTTAATAACCAATGAACAACATTAACAAGTCATCTCTAAGTATCACAGGCTTTACTTGCCACCAGCTGTATCATTCTGAGGGACCAAACCCATCCTGAGGTCCAGGATAATAAAATGATACTAAAATGTTAATTGAGACACCATCTTTAATTAACGAAGTGACTTGGTTACTGGCTCACCACTGTATATGCTACCTTCAAAGCAGCTGGATCAGAGAAAGCACTGAAGATCTTAAAACAAATCTGACAAGAACTTGATATCTGTGTTACTAGATCACCTGTCAAGGGGTGATTCACTTTAACTCTTCAGGTCACCAGCTCTGAAATCTTCTCACTTCGACATGACCTGACTACACTTGCTTGCATCCCTCCTTGTGCCCCAGCAAGTACATTATACTTCACCAGGCAATTTTTTTTTTCCTGAAGATAACCTAGAGTTGCTTACAGATAAGATGCTACTTTAAAAGGACACACTTTCCATAAATATGTATTCAAAATGTCTCCATTGTCCATTATTGGTACTCAGGAAGTTCTACAACATCATAATGAATTACTGTTTTATTTGCGTACTCTCGCTGTCACCTTAATTTCCACAGAAATGGTACTGGAAAGCAAGATACTGTAAATACTGGTATCATATTGTCAGTTCTCTCTTTAAAATCTTTTAAAATGTCAGACTACATGGAGTAATATATTCAAACGGGTTGTTATATCTGAGCTTTTGACAGAGAAATCTAAGACAGCCCGAATGAATTAACACACTGCAGTAACAACATGTAAGCTAACTTTGCCTGTTAAAACAGCTCCAAAAGCCTCCCATGAACAAATTAACAGTCTTCTTTAAAGTTGATTCTAATTATAATACTACCAAGTAGAAAACATTAATTTAGGTCAGCTCAAGTGACTGCTGCTATTTCTTGTCATATTGGAACAATGTTTCAACTATAGTGTGGAATTTAATTACTGAAGTTTGATGTTTAAATATGTTTCAATTAGGACTGAATTCTGGTGTTAAATGATCTAATTTCCAGTACTAAAATGTGGCATCCCCCATGCACTTTCACACCTCAACATTGTCCTTGCCTTTCTGTGTGTGCATGTACGTATTGTTGTTATTATTTTTCTACCGCCTTGCCAATGGTGAGTACGACGGTGGGGAAGGGAGTTATGGGAATAGTAAAAGGCTTAAATAAGAAGCAAGGAAACATTCCAATTATTTTGAATTAGTACATGGAAAAAGGGCAGCTCTCAGAACCTTAAGTCTGGCGGTACAGCAGCCTTGTAAAGTTGCCTGAAGGATCTGAAGGAAACTTCCCTCATCTTCAACCAAAGCAGTTTATTTTGGCTGTCACTCTCCCGGTTCTTCCCCATCCTCCCGTACCCCTAACACCGCAGCTCTGCAAGACTCTTCCCTACACGTCCGCAACGGAACAGGACGCTGCTCTGCTGCAGAAGCGTGCTCTGAAGTCGCGGGAAGCGGGATTTGCCGCTCCCGGGTGCCCCGCACCGGGCGGGTGGTCACGGGAGGGGAGGACGCGACCGCGGCCCGGGGGACCCGTCCACTGCTTCCTTTCAGCGTGCTCTGCCCCTCGGAGTCCACTGCTAGCCACATACAGCTTTTTTATTGTAACACGGCTTTACCGAGTCGCATGCTCCCCACCACCCGGGCTGAAGCCGCGGCCCCGTGCACCGGCCGTTTCTCCCCAGCCCCTCACAAATGCGGGGGATACGCTGGTTTTTTGCTTTCCAAGACGGGACCAGGAGTCCAGCCAGTCTGCCGCTACTCCCCAAGCGCAGCCTGGAAGGCCCCTCAGCCTGTGGTGGGGGGCAGAGCCCCTTCCATTCGCAGCCTTTGTTGTTCCTTTCCCCGCGGAGGCGCGGCGCTACACAAAGGGACCGGCCGTAACACGGCAGCGGCCTCCCTCCCTCCCTCCCTCCCTCCCTCCCTCCCTCGCCCGCGGCCCCGCAACGTCCGGAGGCTCGCGCGTTGCGGACCGAGGTGGGGCCGAGCCCCTGATCAGGGCCAAGCCCGACTCACCAGGCGAGCCTGGGGGCAGGTGTGCTCTAGCTCCTC